CCCTGTGAAGATATGCCACGGCGACTGTGCTAGTTATTTAATCGTTATGATTCTTGAGAAATTTGTAGAAAAATATAAGTTTAGAGTTTCGAATTATCGAAATAAATGTAAATGTGTTTTGGAGTTTTGGAAGTGATATGGGTATGGGTATTCCCTCTCTGCAGCAGGGTATCACAGCCAAACAGGAAGAAGCAGCAATCAAAAGAAAAGACAACTTTGCTTCGAGAGGAACTGCAGTTGATGAAGAGCGAGGAAGAGAGAGGGGAAGCAGAGATTGCAAGAGGCATAGAGATAGCGCGATTGCAAGTGGGATAGAGAGGTAAAATGGAGAGAGTGTCTGCGTGTGCGAATGCTCTGCTCTGCTCTCTTCTCTGATTTGTTATTATTGCTGTTAACATGCCACAAAACGCATTTTCTCTCTATTATTATTATGAATTGAATTGAAGTTGTTATTAACTTTAATTGTGCTATGCTGATGGTGTGGGGAGCGGCATATCCAGAGGGGAGGCAAACAGCAATCAATGTGCAGTCGACCCGCTGCGGCAGCAGCAGTAGCAGAAGCAGCGAGAGCTTTGCCATCCGTGTCAATTGCCAGGAGCGGACATTGTAAGATGAGAGTCGAGGGGGGGAATAAATTATCTTACATTTCATCAATTAGCATCGATTCTACTCTGGCTGCTACCCTCTGTTCCAACCAAATTGCTGATTGATTATACGTCTTTTTTCCCCTCTTCTTTCTTATAGGGGACCAACAGTTTACTTCTACCTGAATGGAAGAAACCGCCCCTGGGCAAGACATTGTCGATCATTCGATATCCAGGAGCGTAGTTATTGCATGAGTGATCATTAAAAACGTGCTTCCATTGGCTACATGGACCATGGCCCAAATCCAAATTCACCTCTGGACAAACACGTCCAGGAGCGGAAATGCTAATGATTGATTGTTTTATTCTGCCTTTCCTCTCTCCACAAGGGGGCGGCCACTCAAAACGTGCTTTTACTTTACCCCTGGACCGAAACCCGCTCCTGGTCAAGCATAGCACACACACACACACACCCGTGCATACGTGGGTGCAGGTACGTACGAGCGTGTGTTCCCACTGTTCGGACAATGGCAGCATGTGTGGGTGTGGTTTTAGTTGTTCTTGCTTTATGGTTTGGGGCCCCCACATATGTGTATATGCACATGACGCTCACTTAAGTAAGAAACTATAAACAATATTCGGCACGCACTCACCTTTGAACCGCCCGCTGCAGCTACCCCACGCTTTACCGCTGTTTCCACTCTCTCTCTTTCTCTTTTGCTCTACACCACTTTCGTGTGTAGTTTTTGGCTGCTGCTGCTGATGCAAACTGCGACGCCCTTTTTTTATGCCTCTTTTCACTCTTCCTCTTCACTGCACTAACAATAACAAATGCACACAGACACGAACACACAAACACACCCACAGATGCCGCGAGAGAGATCTGTATCGGTGTGCGTTAACAACAATTAAACTTTTTCACTTGATTTTTTTCCTGCTTTAGCACCTCCTTTGGGCCCGCTTTTCTCTCGCTGCGGCTCGCTCTGCGCATTGCACGGTGGGAAAAACTGGTTTTCCTCTCCTCGTTTGCGCGACTCTTGCGGTTCTTGTACTTAAATCACATTAATTAATTTTGTTGCTTGCACTTTACTTTTTTAAGAGGATTATTTTATGCGCGAAACGGAACGAAGAACACGGAGTGGGCTAAATTTAAAACATATTTACGTTTTTACGGCCAACACCAGTGTGACCGCGGACTTATCGATGAAAAATACCGCCTGACCTTCAGAAATATACCAAAATATACCTTGTCAATATCAAAATATACCGTAAATATACTGACGGACACTTTGATATTCCTCGATTTTGATATTCCGTTTAATATTACTAGCAAGTTGGCCCTCTCAGCCCTAAACAAATAATTTTATCCGATAGATATATAAATTTTCTGCAAGATTGGCAAGTTTTCAGAAGTCTCTTTTATTGGATTATTTACATATTAAGGTTCAAACAAAAACACCATAAAACGAATGTGGCGTCGTTTTTGTGGCGCTGCCAGACTCGTGCAATTCGTAGTTGCTGCGGGCTACCATACCATGATATTTTGTGATATGAAATTCGTCAATTTTGATATTCAGTTTAATATTACTAGATAGTTGGCCCTCTCAGCCCTAAACAAATAGTTTTCAGAACTCTTTTTCAGTGGATTGTTTACATAACAAGGTTCAAACAAAAACGGACAAAGCATAAAACGTAAATGTTGACTCAATGTTTCGTCAGTGTTGCTGGTCAACCAAGTTTCTTCTATGCGTATGTACTTTTGTATACCTTATTTCTTTTAATTGATGTTAAATGTTTTGTTCCAAGCTCCATTGTAACATTATTTATTTTTATCCTAGATTGACATGTTTTTTACCTATATATGCACATGTTTGTGTTTTATAAATACATTTATCCCGGTTCTGATACCTATTATTGGAACCCGTGAGCTGCAAAATTTCGATAATATCTTTAAAACAGAGACTGAGTAGTTTCTGCATTAATTGGAGCCTAGGATTACAAAATTACCTCTATTCTATAATATCCATTTTCCCAAGGTATGCAGATTGTTGCTCATCCCGTGCCAAACTTGCACAACAATGCTGCCTCTTCATTTCCACATGCTGCTGAATTTTTTCCCATACAAATCAAATGTATCTTACGGAACGTCACAACAATGAATCTAGTAATCTACCCTAGTAATATTAATATTAATCACCACCAACCAATGAAAAATGGTTGAAATTTTGGTACAGTTTCAGTATTTATTGGTAAAAGGGAATTTATTTTCTTTCATACGTGCGAGCGTCAAAAATTGTCCCTAGATAGGATGCCTTTTAGCCTGGAGAATGTCAACAGCTACAAGCTGGAGAGATTCGGAGAATTTCCTCCCTCCTCGGACTATTTTTACTATTATTTTAAGCTTGCTTAGGTTTTACATGTATTTGATAAGCAATTGTTTGGTTAAAAAATGAGCCAAACCAAGTCCATTCTAGCGTTCCTGTTTTTAGAAAAATGTATTTATTTGATCAGAGAAAGTTAGGTATTGAAGTGGGATCTTGTTAAACTTGAGAATCGTACATTTATATTTATCTTAGCAGTCGCCAGATTAATTTGGCCATACAAATCCACTCCAAAATCCAGTTAGCCAGACGGCCTATCATATAAATATTTTCTTTTTGTACTTTTTGATATGAAATCCGTTATAAAAGTAACGGTTTACATTACGCGTTTTCAACTTTCAGCCAATCAAATCGTTTGAAATTTTGCTGTAAACATTTTGGGGTGGTTTTCTGGTTTTCAACAAAATATTGCCGAATATTTTTTTTCACAAGTCCGCTGAGTACCAAAAATATATCCATTGATAATTTTTTAAATCATAATAACGATGAAGAAGACTCATTGTTGCGTCATTCCTACTCGTTCCCGTAAGATACATCTGGCTCACATCACGAAAAGGAGGGGAAAGTCACCATACCTCACCACTCAGAGGCGTCATCTTTGTTGCTCGCATTGCCAGACTCGTGCAATTCGTAGTTGCTACGGGCTGCCACACCATGATATTTTGTGACCCGTTTCATTACCGATTCGCTTTGAACTGATCTGGCAGCCCTAAAAACCAAAATCCGCAAAAAGGAAGAAGATAAAATATTTTCCGCAAAAAGGAAGAAGAAAAATCTCTGTGGAAATTCGTTCCGCGGTATTTTTTGTGTGCTAAATGGAGTTTGGCGGTCATTTTGAAATATACCCTAAAAAATAGATTGCAAATATTCTTTTATATACCTTTCCATTATCAAAATATACCTTAAATATATAAATGGTCAAGCCAAGACTTTTTTAAAGTTTTAAATACACCCGCTTGACAAGACAAGCAACAAGTGGTCAAATGACGTAACACTTTCCATTCCCACTTACGTTTTTACACAAGTAGTAGACATGTAGCAAATATACCAGTTTGGTATATTTCTGGGGTGCTTTTTGGCTCATTCTTTACACGCAGAAATGAGTTGGGAGAGCGGAAATTGCTCTCTTTAGAATGACATGGCAAGGAATGGAAAACAGGGAAAACCCGAAAAGCAAAATGCAAAAGCTCGTACGAGCCTCACCTGGCCATGAATGTTAAACAATATACCCTGATAGGCATGGTATGCTAACTATTGGGGTGGGTTTTGCATGGTTTCAACAGAAATGAAAACAGTTATCCCCGAATGTGGGAAATGGAAAACGGAAAATGTGGACGCCGCGGAAATAAATAAATATTTTAAAATATTTTTCTGAATTCAGAAAGGTGTTCGCCGCGTCGTCGACGTCGCTCGCGTGTGTTGGTGTGTACCATTTTTTTCGGGGCGAGAGTCAAACGTTTCTTATACAATAAATTCGTGAAAAAAGCAAAGTGCAAAAGCGAGTGTGCGAGTGCATAGAGTTTTATAACTACACAATATATAAAATAGAATAAGCGAATATAATTACGTGAGTTTTGCTGTGGTCGCGCGCCAGGCGGCTAGAAAGAGTCGGCAAATCAGTGCCTATACATATATATGTACGTGTTTATGTATAGATTTATGTGTGCGATACATATTTATATATAAAGTGCTTTGCCTGCTTCTGTGTATGTGTGTGTGTAAAACAAATGCTTAAATTGCAACAAAGAAAATATATATATATGTAAAAAAGAAGAGCCAAGCAAAGCAGAAAGAAGAGAGAAGAAGAAGTGCAAGAAGAAGCAGCCGCCACCGCTGTCGTTAAGAGTGTAGATTATTTGTGTGTGTGAGAAGCAGCAGCAGAGAGTGCATTTGCGAGTGTGTGTGTGCGTCTGTGTATGGAAGAGAAGAAGCAGCAGCTGAAATTAAATCAAATTTAAAGATAAAAAGAAGCATAATATTAAAGCATTTAATCAATTATTTCGCATTTCTTGCAGCGCCTAAAACAACGAAAAAATATACATAGTTCATAAATAATAAAGTTAATTATAGTGTTGATAAAGTGAACTGGCGGTTTCAGCAAAACTCTCGTCCCCCCCACTACTACTACTACTACACCTCCCCACTACTATCGCATGTGGCATGTTCTTACACCTCGCGTGCCGCCAAAATAAAAGTGTTTATAAAACGGATTCCACAAAATACAACGAATGGAAAGGATCCAACAACTTTTAAAAGATTGAACGAAGAGTGTGAGAGGCGTCGGCTAACAGTGGAAGAAGCAGCCAAAAGAAAAAAGAAAAAAAACAGCAGCAGCAATAGGAAGAAGTGAGAAGGCAGATAAGCAGCAGCCAGAGCGGAGGAATATAGCATTTCGAAGCCGGCAAAGAAGCAGCAGTCGAAAAAGGAAGCTGAGAAAGAAGCAGAGCAGCAGCAGCTCAGCCGGCAGAGAAATAACAGCAAAAAAGGGACAGAAGCAGCCGGCAGAGCGCTGACTGCGCAAAAAAATGTAAGTACAAATCCAACAACAACAACAAAATAAACAGAAGAGTGGGGGCAGTGCAGTGCGCGCCCTTTTCTTGTTTTTGTAATTATTCGTTTGGCTCTTCTTTGCATTCCATACTTGCGTTTCGTATTACATTTTTCTTCTTCAATACTTAAATTTATTGAGAAACGCTGTGAGAGAGTGCGGCCCCGGAAATGGGTTGCGGTTACAATGATAATGGGAGGCCCGAACCTCCCTACACCCCTTACACCCACCCCATCCATCCCATTATGCCTTTTGATAAGAGCGGAAATGTGGTGCCAGACCTTGGAAATATATATAGTATCTGTGTATTTTCTTTATTTACTTATCGCTTTGCTTATGGGCCGGATATTTGTGGGATTTGGGCCACTTTAATTGCACAACATTTGTTTGTGGTTAAAGCGGAAAGAGTGTGTGTGGGATTACAGTGCCCATTGGCTAGGGTGGAAATGTGTAATGAGCATTTTATGTAATTTGAGTCAGTGTGAAACTTCTTTACCATGATTTCCCTACGATTTCTGTATATTTTGTGAGAATTTTTTGGTCCTATTTTCACATATTTCATCTATAAAATAAACACAGAAATGCCCCTAGGCTAGGTCCTTTTTCTAACTAAATTTCCTTTGAAACAAATGCCTGAAAGCACTTCTCTGCCACTTCATTTACGAAAAATCCTTCTGTTCGGAGGAGTGGACATCTAATCTCTCAATTTAGTTGGCGACATTTTCCTCCATTAGCCTTTCGGCGGCAAATCCAATAAGAATCTAAAACATTTACATGCATACATTTCCCTTCTACTGTCCCACAATGTGTGTTTTTCTCTCTGTTTTTCCTGTCGCTTGTTGCCTGTCGCTTTGTTGTCGTTGTTGTCTGCCATCAAAAGTAATGTATGCTGCCTGTCGGTGGCAGTCTATAAAATCCAATTAAAAGAACCAAAAAGTTGTACGCACACACACACACACACTCGTGCAAGAAAAATACCAATGAAAAGCAACCAAAATACCAAAGTTAGAGCCCGGTCTTTTATTTTTTTCTTTTGATTACAAGCCAGAGACCAAAAACCAATTATGGCCAACTAGTTAGACTTGATGCCAAGATCGCCAACACACACACACACACAGTCACAATTACTGAGCAAGATATATGGGAACAGTGGGAGTGGAAGAGGGAGATGGATATAGGACCAATGTGTGCTAGAGATGGGGAATAGTTTTGAGAACTTTTGAAGCCACAAAATAGTGTCGTAAAGAAATTCAAATTTATTGAATATCTTTTGAAGTGTTCTAAATGATCTCCTATGTATTGAATTTGTATCTCTTTTCATGGTACTCTTTTCGTGCTTTTTCGTGCTTGTATCTTAACCGCACACATCCCTTGTGCGTGCCATTTGCCCATTTAGCCCCCGAACTGACCATAGTCCACACACACACACACACACACATACACCGACCATAGGCACAGACACTGGCACAGTGGAACTGTCAATTAACAGTTTTTGCAATTGTTTTTTCTTTTATGCTTTTTGCATAGAGAGAAAGAGAGAGGGAGAAGCTTGAATTCATCTCCAGAATTAATTTCTCTTTTCCTTTTCAACTGCTTTCAGTTGCAAAAAAAAGTAATTGCCGAAAGAGAAATCCACACAAAAGTAGACGGAAAATGAAGTGGGAGGACAGTGTGAGAGGTAGGCGAGAGACAGGGAAAAAATCGTGGGCAAACTAAACAAAAATAAGTTTTTTCTGTTTGTTGTTGCGGCATTGCCTTCGGCACTGCTGTGCTGCATTGGATACACAACACACACACACACACACACCGACATACACTTGAGTAAAATTAAAAGAAAAAAAAAATCTGAAACAGACAACGGCCGCTGTGGGCAGCGCAGTCAGCATGCATGCACTATAGCGGCAGAGCCGTGCAGCGTCGCAGCTTTTGCTTCCCACTTTATTTCGCCTTCATTGATACCCTTTTGACAGGGAGGGTATGATGATTTTAAGCGAAATTTCTCTTCGATCATAATATGATTAATAATTTATATCGATGCCAAAGAAACGATTGGTTGAAAACAACAATATAAATAACCAAATTAAATTCAAGGGTAGACAAAGCCTCTGTACCCAAAATTTAGCCTTTCGTTCGTTCAGCGCCTTCTACTGTCCTTTGGGTGCTGCTTCCATCTCTAAAGCAGTGCCTCTGCCTTGCGGTTGCTTCATCTGTTCCTTCCTTATGGCAGAGTGTGTGTACACTGTACATCTGCATACATATGTACCTCCTAATATGTTTATACGTATGAAAGCTTGTAAAGAATACCGTTGCCTTGCCATGTTTATTGTACTAGCAAAGTTTTTTCTTGTCTGTTGTGCTTCTGCCTTCTGTCTGCCTACTATTATTTCCCATTTTATTTCCTGTTGGAAGCTGGTAAATTTTCATTTTGGCACTGTTTCTTCTACTTTAATTCCCACTTGCATCGTTTACAGTGGAATTAAATATTATTAATGAGAAAATAGGGGAAAATATGCAAGGAATATAAATGGAATACAAGGAATATGTAATTTCCCTTGAGGGGGGTCACCAAAAGAAAAGTCTTAAAGATCCATCACTTATGTTTTCTTTCAACAAAACTCGTTCCTTATTTATAGTTTACTTTGTGATCATGGAATGCAAAGAAAATTGAGGAAAATTTATAGTTTTCTTTGCATCACTCAACAACATGAAGAAAAGTGTATATCAGCTCTGGCGCTGCCTCATCGTCGCATCTATAGATGGCTATATCCATCGAATCCATACAGAAATTGCCTTTTGTATCTCTGTGTATCTGTGAGATACGAAAATAGTTGGATTTTGGAGGTCCGCTGTTGCTGCCTGATGCACTTTTTCATGTGGCGGAAACTCGAAAGCGAAACAATGCCATAAATACAAATAAAAATATTTTCAACAGACACAGAAAACTGTGAAGAGGAGAACACACATAAATAGATGAATAAATTGGTGGAAAAAGAACAGGAAAAAACTTACACAAAAAGAAAAGTTGGGGAGGGAGCGGGATTCTATGTGGGGGATGTGGGATGTGCTGTGGCCTGCTGTAAAATGTTGTACAAATGTTTAGAGAATTTAAACTTAAATTTAGATATTTACAGGCAGCAATGGGGATTTTGGGGAAGTGCAATGGGATAAGATAAAAGTTCAAATGCAGCTGCAACTGAAACCGAAATAGACATTGAAGAAGCCACGAAATGATGGGTGTTCTATACTTACAGATCTCTAATCTAATCTACAAAGCACCCAAAAAGTGTGAAGAACTCGAAAGAAAAAGAGAGTGAAAATGCAGGGCAAAGAATGAAGACAGAAAACTGGCAACATCGCACGACAAACACACAACAAAAGAGATCTTAGGCACTGAAGAGAGGAGGTTGCTCTTTTAAAGAGAAATAAGGAAGATGCTGGTCTGGTTCTCTTTCTCCAATTCCCATTCCCATTCTCTCTTCCCATTACCAATATCTGTATCTAATGTTCCGCATCGCGCATACAAAGTTGCATTTGTTTCGTATCTTTTGAATACAAAATAAATAAATGATACAAAAAAAAAGCACAAAAGTGGAAGAGCAAACCAATAAAAGCAACAACAATCAATGTTGACTCCAAATTCTGGTCAGCGAAGAGGGCAAAGGCACAGCATTGGTAAGCGGAACATGGCCCAATGGAAAGGGTGCGGCAAGGGGGTGCGGAGTGGGGTGGGGCGCTGCCTGCCAACTTCACGTAAACTTCATTTACTGTCTGGTCTGCCTGCCGACTCTACCGTTCCACCGTTCTTCTTATCTGTCTATTCCTCTCTCAGTCTCACTCATTGCTGCTGGTGCTGCTGCACGCAGTTTCTGTTTCTGTTTTTGCTGCTGCTTCTGCTGCTGCTTCTTCCGCCTCCTCTTCTTCTGTGTGTTTTTTTCTGTCTTTCTAGCTACAATACAAAATTACTTTTTGTGGCTTGACTGGTGAGGTCTACTCTTCCTCTTCCTCTTCCTCTCCCGCCTGCCATTCTCTCTATCGGCGTGTGTGTGTGTTTGTGTGTGGTTTGCTCTTCGTTTATCTCTTGCCTGTCTCCCTCCCTCTCTGTGTCTGCTGCCAGTGTGCCTTCTCCTATCGCTATCTCTGTCTTTTGGTTATAGCTTTTATTTAGTTTTTTGTTTGGTTTTTTTTTTTTATAATAAATGTTCGTTCGTGGGGTTCATTCAACTGTCAAAAAACCACACACACATGAAAGGTGAAAAGAGAGTGCAGATAGGGAGTGATAGATAAAGAGTGAGAGAGGGAGAAAGAGAGAGATCGAAGCTCATGAACGTGCATAGAAAATAAATAAAAATGAAATAAATCGAATCGAAACGTTTTTCATTGTCTTTCTTTTTGCTTCTGCCTCTGCTCTTTTATGCTGTTTTGTTTTGTTTTCTCTAGTTTTTTTTTTGTGCATATTTAAATTGTATACGGGTAGGACAATTCCTTAAGGATCAATTCCATGACTATATCATGAGTAAGTGTCACATGTAATGGAATCATTTCTTTTGCAACCTTCTCTTTGGCATTCCCATTCTTTAAGTCATTTATTCCGTCATTCATTCATTCAATCAGCCTCCAATCAATGTTACAAATTGAGGTTAACCCTGCACGTGCCCTCCCTCTCTTAACGCCCTCTTAACCCACTCTTTCTCTCTCTCTGTATCTCTTGTTTCCTTTTCCTTCAATTTTGTTGCGTTTTCTGTGCATTTTTCTTTGCCGATTCGTCATTTAATATGGGGCTTCGCTTCGTTTAAAATCGAATCAACCACTGAGACCACACTGTGCATAGGCCTGACGACCCTCCCCCTGACCTCTCCCCCTTTTTGGGCTTGCAATAAATGGATTTTTTTGGGCGCTTGTATTTTTCAGCGTGCGCTGTGCCCATTTAAGCTTTAAGTTTTCCCTCGAACACCAAAAATCGATGGACGATGGAATTTTTT